TTCCCAAGCAGCCTTTCCTGGCACCGTGGGCCCAGGGGGAGGCCGCGCACAGGAGCCTGGAGCGCCTCTTGGGAGAAGGGGCGCAGCCCTGGGCGCTGGCCGCGGTGCTGAAACCTCCACAGCCGCCCTGCTCCTCCTCGGCGGGGGGAGGACTGCCTCTCCTCTGCCCTCCAGTCCCTCCTCCTCTCCTCCTCCTCCTCCTCCTCCCCTCCTCCTCCGGATTCAGCCCAGTCTTCCGTGAGGCTCTCAGACGCCTGCAGGACCTGCTCCCCCAGCCCACCTGTGCAGCCAAGGGTCTGCTGCTCCTGGACCCCCGAGGACAAACAGCAGAGGCTGACAGGTATTCAGAAACTCGAACTTCACTGAAGAAATCCCCAGTGGTGTCTCCCCCAACAGTGCACAGCGCTTGCGCACCAACAGCGCAATGGAAACACCCTGCGAGAATCATCACTTGTCCTTTTCCAGTTTCATTTGTGTTGCCTGTTCACAAATCCTGTCAGTGACTTCAGAAGTTCTGACTTGTATCCTTGGCAAGTGGTTCTTTCTCTCTTCAAGCAATGTGCCCTGGTTCCCACGTGTTTTGGGGTAACCGGAGCCCTCTATTTGCCTCAGCGAGTAAACCGTGGTGGGAGAGAGAAGGTCCCAGCACCTGAAGGAGGGGCAGCACCCAGGTGCCCTGAAGTCTGGTTTCTGTTGGACCTGCAAGAGTGGGGGAGCGGGCAGCCCAGCAAGCTCTCACGGCTGCCCCCACGGTCTCGTGTCTTGTGCCAGGGGAGGCCCTCGACTTGGAATTCAGTTTCCGATGTCAGCTGCCAGCACAGAACCTTTGTCCTATAAACCCAGCACCCACTGGGACATGTTGGCATCGACCCAGGGGGTCAGGAGCCCCCAGATCTGACCAGTGCCCTCTGGTGGCCCACCGCTTGTGCCGGAGCCCTGGAGTCGGCCAGCTGCCAGGCACTTACTTGCTCAGCCCACTCTCCGCCCTCCCTCCACATTAGATCGTTTCTCTGCAGACAAAATGCCTGATGTCTACTGAAATTTGAACTTCAGATACACGATGAAACTATTTTTAGTAAGTACATCCAAAAAGTGGCATGGAACACGCTTACAATAAAACTTACTTGCTGTTTATCTAAAATTTAAATTTAACTGGGCGTCATGCATTTTTATTCACTGAATCTACACCCCTAACTCTCAACGTAGCAGGAGCTGAAAGCGGCCAGTGTGCCAGCTGGCTAGGTCTCTGCCCCCCTTTCCACAGCCCACTGTCGGGTGGACATGGAAACAGTCCTTCTGACTTGGAGGAGGCTGTGGAGAAGCTCTCGGGGCTCCTCGCCTGCCCATGCTGCCTCCAGGGTGGGGAGAGGGCTGCAGAAGCCTCCATCCTGATCCCTCCTGCAGAGGGCCCCCTCCACCTGGCCCCACCCCACAGCATCACCAGAGCCTCCAGTTCTGTCCCCTCGTTTTATCCTCACTCCGACCCTGGGGTTGGAGTCAATTCCGAGCCCACTTTACAGAGTGCGGCACTGAGGCTCAGGTGGCCCAGACCACACAGGAGGGAGGGGGGGGTGTGGTTACTTAACCTTTGGGCAGGGATGGGTGGGAAGGGGCTTCCAGCCCTGGCAGAGGACGGTGGTCCTGCCTTGTGCAGGAAAGGCCTGGGACCTGGTCCCATAGCAGGATGAGCCCCCTCCACCCTTCCCCCTCCTTTCCTCCCCTCCCCCAAGCTCACCGCCACCAGGATCTGCAGGGTGCTGTGCAGGGCCTCCACGTAGCCATGCTCCAGGGTGCAGCCGATGCCTGGCACTGGGGCCTGGCTGTCTAGAGGGCCCAGGCCAGCTGCTGGCTCCTCTCGCAGACAACCTGGGCCATGCTCACGCCACCAGGAGCGGTGCCGGGAGAGGTTGAAAGTCAGGAGCTTGCTGTCCTGGGGTGAGGGGGTGGAGCTAGGTTAGTGCCAGGGACATGGTCAGCCTCCACCCACCCTAGCCCAGCGTGGGCCCCCCAGCCCAGCGTGGGTGCCCAGACCTCCCACTTCCCCTGCCTGCAGAGGGGGGCAGGGGCACCAAGGCCCTCTCGGCCATTCTCCTGCAGGGAAGGCCTTGCTGTTCTTGCCAACAGCCCCCGGCTCACAGCCCTTCCTCCAGGAAGGCCTTCCTGACCAGGCCAGACCCCCAGGACATGCTCTCTCAGTGCCCTGGACCCCTCCCTCACCTCTCCAGCCAATGCTGCCGTTTCAGGTGTATTTGAACTAAGGTCTGTCTCTCTCAGTGCCGCCCCAGGTATGGTCCCAGGGAGCAGGGGCCGTCTGCCCCATCGCACACCTGCCATCCCACTCCTGAGCATCGTGCAAGGATGAACTGAAGTGTTTTGTGTGAAGGGCCCAGATCAGCAGCTCAGGCAGGATCCACTCACACGGGCGCTTCCGCAGCACATGGCTTGGACGTGGTGCCCCCCCCCACAGGAGGGACCCTGGGCTTTATCAGCATTTGAGAGAGCCGCAGGAGGACAGTGTCCCCTCTGGCCACACCGGTGCTGTTTCCATCTGCATGCCTCTGCTGAAGCTGGGCGCTCTGCTCCCCTTCCCGAGTCCTGACTCTCCTTCCAGGCACCGCCCAGGCTCCAAGGCCCCCTCTTCCAGGAAGCCTTTTTTGGTGCATCTGCTTCCAGCCGGTGACCACTTGCCCAGCAATGCCCACAGCCCCTCATCCATCCACCACATCACTTTCCCCAGACATTCACTGAGTCACTGCTGTGGGCCAGGAGTGCTCTGAGTGCTGGGGACAGAGCCATGAACGTTCTCTGCCTTGGCCGGGGGAAGCAGGCGACAGACAAACAAACACATCCAGTGCCCGCGGGGCCAGCCAAGACCCCCTCCGCTTTCGTGAGCTCCCCCCCCCGTACTCACCTTGGAGAGGCCTCCCACTTCCAAGTAGAAGCAGATAATGAAGATGTTCCAGGTGATCCAGGCGGCTGCCCACACAGCGTACTAGGGAGACAAGAGAGGGTAGGGGGAGGTGAGCCCAGACCTTGGAGGGGAGGGAGCCCAACTTGCTTTGGCACGGTGCCTTTGGAGGACGAGGCCTCTGCAGCAGTAGAGGGGTCTCTGCTCCCTGAGTCTGGAGGCCAGGGTGTTCTGTTTGGAGGATGATCATCCTGAGCCCCCTAGGGACAGGTCTCAGCCATGGAGCCTCATACACTGTGCCAAGAGGGTGGCCGGGCTCCTGCTCCCATGGGAAGAGGGGCGCCCAGGAGATGGGGCTGCTGGGACAGCCAGCTGGAAGGACCCGATCTCCTGGCCCAGAGGTGCCCATGGCCCGTCCCAGGTGGACCAATGATAAGCAAGGGTATGAGCAGCCTGAACCCCCAAAATCCACCCAAAGAGCCCCTGAGGTCTGCTGCAGGGAAGGGAGGGCTGCCAGCTGGCACCTGCTTTTGTCAAGTTTTACTGAGATGCAGCCACGCCCGGGCTGTGCCAGTGCAGAGCCAGGTACCCTTCACGGAGACCATGGCCCACAAAGCTTGGGAGATCCACATCTGGGCTTTTACAGAGAAGTGTCTGCTCCAAGCCCTGGTCGAGACCAATTATTTTGATCTGCACTGAACGAGAATCCTGCTCCGCTTGGAGCAAAACTTTCTGGACATTGTTTGAGCATCTCCAGAGATGGGATGGCAGTGGGGGGAGGGGCGGGGCTGGCGTACACTGGGTTCCAATCCTGCCTTGAACCCCCAGCAGGTGCTCTGCACCCCAGTTTCCCAGAACCATCCCCAAAGCCACAATTTCCAGGTCTGAACTCTGGAACTTATCCAGGCTTTGGGAAGGTTTGAGCCTGGGGTTCTGGGAAGATGGTGTGTAGCTGAAATTCTGGCCTTTCCGGGTTTCCTGACAGAACTGTCACTGGAACCCCCCTGCCAGACCTCCCACCCACCTGCCCGCAGGGGAAGGGCCGGAGCACAGCGGACTCACCACCACGATATAACGAGGCCGGTACTGGATGGTGCCGAAGAGCCCCAGGATGACCACTACAATGTGGACGAAGGTGGCCAGGATGGGCACCCACTGGTAGCCCAGGAAGTCGAACACCTGCCTCTCCAGGGCAGTGACCTAGGAGCAGAGCGGGCCTGTGAGGGGCGGCGGACCCCCTGGGGGAGGCCCCGGCCCCCCTCTCCTGCCTGATCATCACCATCCAACACCCACTGCGGTCCTGGCTCTTCCAACAAAAACCTCCAAATGAGTTGGATGGGCCTGGGAGCATCACTGCTGGGGTGTTCCTCCTTCAGTGAGCCCGTCCTCAGTTTCCTCATCTGCAGAATGGGCGTACAGGGGGCTGCCCAAAGGGGGCTGTAGGGCCAACAGCAAACAGTGGAAGGTGGAGGCCTGGGACACGGGTCCCTGGGTGCTCTTGGCCGTGAGCAGATGCTGCGCTCCTAGGCCCCCCAGATCAGCACCCTCCTTGTCTGTGGGGCTCTCTCACCGTTTTGGGGCACTTCTCCCCTCTGAGGACTTCCTTTCCCCTCAGCTCTGTGGACGCCAGCCCTGCAGGCATGGCCAACAGAGGACCAACTCGAGGGAATCAGAGACACCTAAGGAACCTGCTGTTTCATACGCAGGGAGACAGACTGGCTCTGAGCTCAGGTGGCTTCAGGAAGCAGTCGCTCATTCCTTCATTCACTCATTCATCACGTTTGTGGGCCGACGACACGCTAGGAGAAAGTACAGCTGAATCCGCTGCACCCTAGACACCATCCCACCCGTGTTCAGGACAAGGAAAGCTGGTGCAGCAAGGGCAGAAAGGACCAGCACGTCCTGGAAGGATGGTGGCAGAGAAGGGACAGCAACCCAGCAGGGCCCATGGCTGCTTCCCACGGTTTCCCCACAGGCCCACTGCGCATCCAGCACTCGTTGCCACTGGGCAGACTGCAGAGGCAGGCGAGAGCCGTCCCGAAGCACAGCGGCCAGCGGAGTCGGAGATGGAGACGGGGCGCCAGCTGAGCCCTGGGGCGGGGAGGACGCTGAAGGGCCGGGGGTGGGGTGGGGAGCCCCTCCCAGCAGGTCGCCTCAGGCATGGGAGGGAGGCGCCAGTCTTCCCACAGCCAGGCAGGCTAGGTCACTGCACGCCCCTCCTCAGGACTAGCTGGGCTACGACCAAGAGCAGAGGGGAGAGGGAGGGACGGGGCGGCAGGGGCCAACCTCCCTCCCACACGGCCTGCTGGCCACAGCCAGGGAGCTCCGCACCCCCACCCCCCACCCTGGCCTGTGTCTTGGAGCCCTCTCCGGACCCCGACCAGCCCCCAAGAAGCAGCTGCCGTGGACGGCCCCGCGCTGGGGGCATATATTTCCAAGAGGTTTCAGGGAGGGGGACATTCCAGGCATGCCCCTTGGAGGGCTGGGGTCCGTCCTAGGAGACAGCTGGGGTGGGGAGGCAGGAGCAAGTGCACAGCAGTGCATCACATCAGGAACTGGCCCTGGTGTTCCCACCGGGACAGCGTCCCCCTGTGAGTCGCGAGGAGGAGGCTCCCAGCCACGGGGCAGAGCGTCTCCCCTCCATGCCTGAGGTGGACGCCGTCAGGCTGCAGCCTCCCTGATCACAGCCCTGTGTCCTTCACCCCCAAGGTCGCGAACCTCAGCGACAGTCCTGCTCGGTGGCTTTCTAGGAAAGGGACAAAGGTTGGAGGGTGCTAACAGGCTGGGGATGGCGAAGAGGGGCCAGTTCAGGGCCGCAGACACACCCGGGAGTGACAGCAGAGACGTAGCTGTGGGTTACAGGCCCCCACGTGCCCAAGTTCCCACCGCTAAACTTGATCCCTAACTGCAGCCCCAACAAAGTCCCCACACATGGCACAGAAAGAGAGTGGTAATTATGTGCCAGGAAGCAGGGGGAGGAGTTGGGAGCTCCTCAGAGGGGTCCTTGGCGCTGATTCTCAGAGCTCCCCCACCCCCGTCAGCAGGCACAGGACAGAGGGCTGCCCAACAACCTCCATGCCCCTGGACAGACCAGGCCAGACATTCACACGGCAGGGAGGACCTTGACAAGTCAAGCTCTGGGCCAAGGCAAGGGCTCCAGCCACTGTCTGGTCTGGGCTCCGGGGCCGGGGGCTGTGAGCCAGCTGGGCCCCAGGGACGAGGGCTGTGGATGGCTGCGCCCCAGGGCTGGGGGTTGTGAGCCGGCTGGGCCCCAGGGCCGGGGGGTGGGGTGTGAGCTGGCTGTGGCTGCAAACAGGCTGCAACGCTCAGGGCTCTAAGCCACAACCAGTGTTACCTCATGATGTCCCTGTGTAGGGGTCCAGGCACATCTTAGCTGGCTTCTCAGCTCAGGGTCTCACCAGACGTAAATCAAGGGGCCAGCAGGGACTGACCGGGGTCTGTCCTGAGCCTCCTGACCTGGGTAGGGGGCTGCATTCTTTTGGGATGACTGAAGCTCCTGGCCGGACAGGATGTGCATCCCTGCTAACCACTAAGTCTGAGGGGGTCCCCAGGGTCTGCTCACAGAAGAGAGACCCTGCGCTGGCAGGCTGGCCAGCACAGGTGGAGGCCTGTGGGACATCTTTTCATTCTGAAGCCAAAGCACTGGAAGGCTCAGCACCCTGAGGTGCCTCAGTGGCCGCCTGCCCACCCCAAGCCCCTCGCTAAGCCCTGGCTTCTGTCAACACCTGGGGCACAGCCCGGGAAAGCGTGGGCAAAGGTCAAGCTATTCTTCAGGGAGAAGGCCCCAGGATGGTCGGGCCTTTGTCCCATAGCTGGGTAAGGAGAAAACTCTCACACTTGTCAAAAACAGGAAAGCAAGCCAAGGACCACCCCGCCCACAGCCTCCCCCTCGGCTCCCCAGCCCCACACACGGTGACAGAGCGGAGAGGGTGTCAAACCTCTTCCCACTACGCTGGCCCCTCCACTGGGCAGAGCAGGGGCGGGTGGACAGCCAGGACAAAAGGCTTTTTTGTAGTCCCTGCTGCCTTTCAGCTCTGGCCACTGACAGCACGGGGACACAGCTCTGTTCTGCCCTCAGGCTCACCTGGCTGAGACCAAAGAGTCTGCGAGAAGCCCCATCCAGGGAAACCCTGCTGCCCTCCAGCCTGGAGAACCACCCCGCATCAGCTGTAGTCAGAGTCCCAGCAGCCTGTGCCAGGCCCACCTGTGCACCATTCCCTGTCCTCTGCTGGCCAGACAGGCAACACGGCCCAGCCTGACCCCCCGAGCCCTGGGGCCTCCTCCCTCACCCACTGCAGCTGCAGCTGTTTCTGCTGCTCTGAATCTCAGCCCACGGTCGCCCTCAGGTGCATCCCTCACACCAAACTCAACCCACAGAAGCCAAAGTCATGCCACCGCCGAAGCAACTCCGCTTCCTGATGCCCGGACACGGCCAGCCAGCTGCAAGCCTCCAGACTGCAAAGCTCCCCGTCAGCCGGGGCTCCTCCTGTCCTCCTATCCATGATCCCTTCTTCCCTTCCCTGTCCCCCAGCCCCATCCCCAGGACGGATTCTGGCCACAGAGGGAGCCCTCCCACCCAAAGACAGTGAGTGACACCTCTGCCCCAAGGCTTGCAATAGCTCCCTATTGCCAGCGCAAAGTCCTCAGGCCTCACAGCCTGCTGCAGAGCCCAGGCTCTCCCTCCACCTTATCTGTCCAGCAAAACCCTGCAGACCACCCACCTTCCTCCATGCTCCCCATCGGCCTGCCCCCCATGCTTCCGCAGCACTCAGCTCGCAGGGCAGCTCCAGTACTCCTTCCTTCCTCCAAACAGGACATACAAGCCTGTGCTTCTCAGCCCCATGCCAGCCCTGCCCCCAGGCAAAGGATAGGACCCCAATCCTGGCACAGCCATGGGTGCAAGAGGACTTCCTACTCACAACATCTCTGAAGCAAGCCCTTCCTCCTCCCCATCAGCCCCCTCTAGGTCAGGAGGAAACACCCTGCCAGCTGAGCCAGGCGCACACCCAGCACCCTTCCACAAAGCAGCATTTCCCTTTTAAGACCAGAGTCCCAGGAACCTATCAGCATCTCCTCCCCAGCCCTGGGCCTCTACTCCAGCGCTCTAGGAATGAGAACTACTCGGAGTCCCCGGAGCTCTAAGGGCAGGAGAAAACTTGGCCAAGGGATGTCCAAGTTCTTTGACAAAGCACTGTACCCAGGGGGCCCAGTTAATCCCGGACACAAGAGACAGAAACGCAGCCCCAGGCACCTACCTCTTCTCCATTCCCCATTTCCCCCGGCCAGGGCAAAAGGGGAGGGGCCACCTCCTCCACCGGCTTGGGAGGGGCCAGGGGCCGGCAGGGCGGGCCTCACACACCCCACACCCCAAGACACACACACACACACACCCCTGGTACACGCTCCTTGCGTGCACACTTGGGGCCACACACACTTTCTGTCACGCGTGGACACCGGTGCCCCTTCCCCGCCGCGCGCACAGGACTTGGAGATCGCGGGCTAGGCGCCCGGGCCTGAAGGCTTTGTTCCTCGCCAGCCAATTCCAGCAGCTCCCCAGCACCTGCCCAGCCGCTTGGGGC